CAGAAGCAATACAGGGACAGAAAGATCTGTGACATTGACACCAGACTGATCTACAGAATGAGTTCCAGGACACCCAGAACTACACAGAGAAACTCTTTCTCAAAAAACAAAAAACAAAAATAAAGACAGGCTGAGCAAGCCTCAAGGGGCGAGCAGCCTCTGCTTCAGTCCCTGCCTCCACCTCCTGACCTGACTTCTCTCGGTGATGAAGCACGCTGTGGAAAGTAAGCTGAAACTGACTTGTTTCTCCCCCGGGCTGCTTTTAGCCAGGGTTTTCTCATATCAATACAAAGCAGACTAAGACGAGAGAGATATCCATTCCATCTGATATAATTATGATGTCACAACCAGATAGGACAGCATAAGCAAGGGACTATATTAAATTGCATGTTAGTCAGATAAGTCCTAAGTTATTATTATCAAGATCAACCAGGTCTAGGAAGAACAGCAGGTGACAACTTCACAGGGTTAATGATGAGAATACAAAGATAGATTAAAAAAAGAAAACTATCACTGGGGACCCACATTAAGAGAATAACGGATAAACTTTATCTCACCAGGTACTGCAGAAGTGTTTGATGGAAGTCAAGCCCATTCCTGATTAAAAAAAAACACTTAGAAAACACAGGATAATGAAATGCTCTTATCTTGATCAAAAGTATTTACCAGTAAATGGAAGACACAGCTCACTTAACAGAGGAACACTCCTGGTGAGTTTTCAGCCCAGCCCCATGAGGTTGCCCATTCTGTTTAGCATAGGACTGCCATGTTGAAGATTCTAGACAATGAGAAAAAAATGAAAGAAAAACACAAGCCAGGACCAAAATGGTATTGGTTATATGATTATTCTCTTTCCAACAGAAAATGCAAAAGCATGAAGGAATGTCAGAGAACAGGTCAGCAGAGGTCAGCAACCAAGCTAAACTGTCAGCCCCTGAAAACCAATGGCTTTTCCTTAAGCAGCAACAACCAAATAGAAGATGTAACTTGAAAAATTCCATTCACAGAGGAACTAATGATAAGAAACAACTCCAGACAGTGCTTGTCTATTGAAAAAGCAAGCATGGCCTAACTTGATAAATCGGCCTTGGCATTTCATTGACCAAGGCAGGCTAAGTTAAAGTCACCCACCCAGAGCACCTAGTGTGTATGTAAATGTAAAGTGTGGGTTTTGGAACATGACCTTCTTGCTGGGCTGTGTGGGATACTTGCTCCTTCTGGCTGTAGTTCTGAATCTCTGTGGCCTTGGATACCCAGGAAATCTAGTCTTGAAAGAGGGAAAGGCAGAGAGGGAAAGACTGTAGGATAACAGGTTGTTGCTGCACACTGGGTGTGACCTGCCATGCCTCTTCACTCTGTACCTTTTGGAACTGAGGCACCTGGTGGTCCCAAAGTGAAGGAAGATGGGAGTCATTGTCCCATGTTCAGGAGGAGGAAGGACATGGCTGGAGCCTCTGACTTCTACGTAGTCATTGTGATGCATGTGTGCTCTCACACTCACAAGATAAATAAATAAAAGTGCAATAAAATGGACTTATAAAGATGTAAGAAAAATACATTCATGGTGTATTCTCTGCTATTGGCAATGTTGAGAGTGCTTCCAGAGTCAGGAGATCTCTGTGGAGTCTTTGGTTTAGAGGCCACAGCTCTCTGCTGCTAGTCCAGTACAAGACGTCATTATTGAGCAGGGCATGTGCTTAGCACAATGTGACTCAGACAGAGTTGGCCACAGTAGAACTCCAGTCTCAAATATTGAAGGTATATCAGAAAGAAAACTCAATGTGTATGAACTGAGCAAACAAAATCTTGCACATGTTTGATAAACCTTGTTGCCTTGACATACGTGGCAGAGCAATGAAGATGCTGGGATCTGTTTCAAATGTCACAGTGACATCGTGGTCAGAGTGAATGGTTCAGATACTATTGTGAAGTCGGGGATGGAGTGAGCCGTTTGCACATAGAAGAGCCTGGGTGCTAGGAATTGCAGTGAAAAGTGAAGTAAGTCTTTTGACCTTTGCAACTATGTCAACAAAGAGCTGTTTTAATGGTTTTATTTTATCCACTAAGTAGTTCCAGTGATACTTTAGTAAGAACAGGGATTGAAGATATTATCTTACACCACAGTCATGGATGCACAGTATAAAATGTAATAGGTGTAAACATGCCCAGCTGAGCTTCTGTGAAACTAAGAAGAATCTCCAGGGAAGGAATTAAATAGTCCCAAACAAAGGGAGCTGGCCAAGGCTGGACCCTGTGTCTCCCTTGGGGTGTCTTCTATCTTATAAAGTGAAATCCTTCTGTGAGACAAACTGATTTCTTTGGAACCACGCAAAGGACAAAGATGTAACAGTGACTCCTAGCTGGAACCTGAAAGACAACATGTCCAGAGACACGTACCAGAAATGATATGAAAATCCACCTTCCAACACAGAGGAATACATGGCCACTCAAACTAGGACCCCAGGTAAAATAAGAAACAGATGATATGAGCCATTGACTCATCTGGATCTGGAACTGAAGTTACATTTAGTAACCTACACAGAAGATGCCAAGCAATGCAGTTGCCATGAGGTAAACATGGACTCGAAGTCCTAAGCCTGAGGAACCTGGGCAGGAGCTTTCAACATTTACAACTCAACCCACTATCTTTAGCAATAATCTCCAGATACAGTATGGAGAAAGTAATAGATTTGCCAGTATAATAAAGTACAATCCACAGAGACATGTGTATGCATTAAGATGCATCAAAAACTCAAAAGATAACCCTGGAAACATCAAAAAGGCAAGACACTGAAAAATGGCAAAACACATTTTTTTAAAGTAATGATGCATCTTGTTAATAAAATCAAGAGTAGATGCCATGTTGAATACAGAGTTTGGTACAGCTAAATAAAAGTGTTGAATGGAGTGTAAACCCGGAAAAAAATTTACATGGAGCACCTAGGCAGGAAAATGTGCAACGCGTAACAGAAGTGTAAGAAGGGATGGGAGAAAGGAGACCTGGCATCAGCCAATTGGGAATTCTGATATTAGAGAAAATGGGAAACAGAGTTAAATCCTCAAACATGTCAAATGATGAAACTGATGACCCCTGTTCATCTTTGCATAACTCTAAGCAAATATTGGCTGTATCAAATAATATTTTCAGTAACTCATTTCTAAGATTAAAACTGTGTGACTAGGCTAAAAATAACACAATATTTGAAAGTAAATATGGAACAAAGCCACTGTAATGTCATTATCATTAAATATAAGACAGCAATACGGAATCTGAGACGTAATTAAGTACACATTAATTAAAACATGCCATTTCATAAATATTAAAAGCAAATGTGTGGTGAGCCAATGAGATGGATCAGCAGGTAAAGGTACTTGCCCCCAAACCCAATGACCTGAGTTTGAGTCTGAAGAACCCACATACTGGCCTAACTTCTATATGTATTCTATGGCATACACAGACTCACAGAGATACACAATAAATAGATCAGTGGGGGAAAACAACCTGTGCCAGATAAAAATGTTGACATAACAGAAAGAGTTGTAACAAAACCAACAATAAAGCATTAGGAACTAAAGTCAACTCCATCAATCATGAGAATAAAAGCAAACGGATTAGACACACGTTGTAGATAGTAAGACGGAAATTCTGTTAGAATTGTCTAGTGGAGTATTATCTGTAGGGTACACAGTTAAACACATACATGCTTTAAAGATAAAATAATAAAATCGAGTCTGTGGGACCAGGCAGGAGGCAGAGAGAAGCACTGTTTGGCACAATGCTGTCATCTGATTCTAGAATGCTGGGCCACCGCAAAATGCTTCACAAATTTCCAAAGACTGACAATGGTATTAGTGATTAGAACAGAGTGTAATTTATCCAAGAATCAATTAGTTGGGAAATGTAACAATTGAGGGACTGAACAATACATCTCCAAACAATCTGTCAGTCAAAACGTCAAAGCAAAAGCCAGAAAATGTTCTGGTAATAGAAACACAGCCCACAGAGCAGAGCTGGGGAAGCACTCAGAGGAAAACTGAAGCTTTGATGTACATCTTTACCTATTTTATCATTGTGTGTGTGTGTGTGTGTGTGTGTGTGTGTGTGTGTGCACATGTGCATGCGCACGTGCGCACATGCGTGCATGTGTGAGTGTCCACGGAGGCCAAAATGGGGAGTCTTATCTCCTGGAGCTGGAGTTACAGGTGGTTGTGAGCTTGGGAACTAATCTGGGCTTTCTTTAAGAACAGTCCTAACTTAGGGCATCTAAACCATCTCTCCAGCCCTGAAACACATTTTAAAAATAATTAAAGAGGGTCTAGAAATCTGAATCGCGGGATAGAGATGCCCAGTTCAGGTCTAGTGAACTGAGTAGAAGAGAATCAGCAAGTAGTCTTCTGATCGTTACACACACATTGAGGAGCAAGCACCCTCTCTACCAACTAACTGCCTAGCTACTAAAACCAACCAACCAAACAACCAGCTAGCTAAAACTAACTAACTAACTAACTAACTAACTAACTAACTAACTAACTAACTAACGTTCTAAAAAGATGAAAGGGTGGGGGCTGGAGAGACAGCTCAGATGTTAAGAGCCCTAATTACCCTTCCAGAGGACTGAAGTTCAATTCCAAGCACCAAATGGTTGTTCACAAAGGTCTGTAACTCCAGTTCCAGAGAACCCAAAGCCTTCTTCTAGTATCTGAGGACTACATACATGCACATAGTGCATAGGGATATACGAAAGCCATACGTATAAATTAAAAATGAAGGAATTTTTTAAAAGCTAAGGGCAATTTTGAACAAATGACATTAAAAATAAAACTGAAAGAAAGACCCAGTAGAAGAGAAAAAAGGAAACACATTACTCAATTTCACATAAATAAAATTTTATATGCAAAGACAATTTGTCCAAAATATATAGCTTGTCAAACATATTCAGAAAGTAAAAGAAGGGTCTGGAGACCTGGCATAGAGGTTAAGAGCACTGACTGCTTTTCCAGAGGACCTGAGTTCGATTCCCAAAACCCAAATGGCAGCTCACAACTGTCTATAACTTCATTCTAGGGGATCTGGCTCCCTCACATGGACATACCTGCAGGCAAAACACCAATGCACATAAAAAATAAATTAATTATTAAAAGGAAAAGGAATAGAAGCTCTAGGGAGTTCGATAAGCATGACATCTCTGAGTCATCTAGCTTGCCAGTCATTCCTATCTCTGGTGAATACAGAAGGTTATGGACAAGCTCCATTCCCAGGTCAATGTGTCAAAGAGCAGGGATAGATGAATCTTGGGCTCCATCATAATAGTTAGGAACAGTGCAAGGGGATATGCTGCTGTCAACAGGCCTGGATCTCTTCTCTCCAGCAGTCAGTCACTCAAGGTGCCTGGGCAGAGCTGAACCCTCAGACCAAATCTTTCAGATCCACCTATGGCCAGATAAAGAGATGCTGGCATTATTGGTGATGTCTGGGTCAATCACAGATTAAATCTAGTCTATCATAGGTAGGACCCAGAGCCAACTCCAGCTAACCCTGTGAAGCATATGGGTTATTGTTGGAGTAGCCTGCATTTAAGGTTGAGTTTACTATACCAGGATAGCATTCTGAGCTCAGTGCAAAGTGGAGGACTCCCTTTCTTGGCAGGACTCCCCATCTGTTTTATTTGGATAATGTCCCTAGTCCTGGATGCTTGACCTTACTTGTACAAAGCACCCTACAAATAGGGCTCAGCACACAAGGCCCCTCCTTTTATTTTGTGCTGTGGTATTTGAATTAATGCAATCTGTCCTCAAACAGGTCTGCATATGTAAATTAGGTGCACTCCCTTCCTTGTTTGTCAATCCTCTCTTCCCCTTGACTTGGATCATATGAATCAACCTTGAAGCTGACTTCTGGAGGTTCTTTCTGTAGTACGTACAGCCATCTGAGGCCTGCTCACTACTTTTGCTCCCTCTTCCCTTGCAGCTGGTAGCCAATGACACCCAGAGAAGGAGATCAGCAGTGTGTACCCCAACCACATACATATTGGGATGTTCCCCAGCCCCAGAAGCAAATATGGATCTGAAGCATGAAAAGGAAGCAACCCCTACATCTGTAGTGCTCTTACTCACTGACTGAGATGAAATGGTCCTAGGATTTCTAACAGCCTTACGGCAAACAGCACACAGGAGCAGGATGAAGGATGTCCATCCGACTTCTTGTGACCAGTAGGCAAGTCTGTTAAAACAACTTTTGTAAAGATCTCACAGTGTAAAGTGAAATTTGGGCACGAAAGGGATTGAGTCCTTGTGTAGAACAAAGATGGTAGTTCTGAAAAAGAACAAAGTGAAAATCTGGGAAGAAAAACACCTTATCTGAAATTCAAACAAGAGTAATGAAATGGGCTTTGAAGTAGGCAAGCTACTTGAGGAGACAGAGCTGTGACATTGAAGGCAGAGCAATATGGAGCTCCCAGGAAGAAAACAAAACAAAACACCGAAACATAGGCGTGAAGAGATGTGTTTGCTGATATTGAGGCTGCGATGAGGAGGGAGGACAGGAGGCCTGGAAGGAAGGCCTCCGTGCTCCCTCCTCTGGATGAAAAAAAAAGTCCTCCATAGATGCAGGAAGCTTAGTGTGTCCCAACAGAGACACAGTGCTCTACTTATCATTTTGAATTGCTGAAAGTCAGAGGAAGGAAGATGAGAAGGAGAAGAGAGAGAGAGAGAGAGAGAGAGAGAAGCAAAGAGACAAAGAAAGGAGAGAAATAAGAAGTAGCCACTAGAAAAGGAGGGTCTGTGTGTCACTTGACACTGAACCACAGTGTAACTGATAGTTCATTAGGAACAAAGCCTGCCACTGAGGGAATACAGGATCACCTTCTCAGGACTCAAACCAAAAGAACACAGTAACCTGAAATTGGGTACCCAGAAAAACTTCAAGTCAAAGTCTCATGCATCATCCAGTATGGAATAGTGAACAGTGTAGGTAAGGCACTTTTCAAATGCTCCCTGCACAAGAGAGTGATGGGGTATAATTATCCCATGCTGTGTTCATAAATCCCAGTGTCTTCTGTATGAGTGTGGAATGCATGACAGCAACTTGCCCATTTATAATTAAGAATTTAAAAAGAGTGCAGCATGGAGAATCAGGCAATAAACTGAGGGAAACTGTAGTCCAGGTGGTCAGAAAGACCTACAGCCAAGGGAGGAGGCCAGAGGAATGTCACAGTCATGAATGCATGATGTACTGGGGATTGTGTTCCTCATTCTCCTGTCTCAAATACTTACAAGTCAATGGCTTGAAGCAAATATAATGTAAAGGATCTACAATGAGATTTAAGACACCCAGGAAAATAAGGCACACAGAACAGTAGTCACAAACAGCAGGATACACCCCATGTAAAGTATTAATAGAGGGGAGTCTAGCATGTTAACTTGGGGTAGATTCCAACAAGTTAGGAATGCCTGTTGCAATTCCTGGAACAGTCACTAAAAACAAAAACATATTGCTAAAAACAGAGGAGATTAGATGCAAAAGGAAGTTGCAGCAAAAAAAAAAAACCAGGCTCAATGAGTAGAGTGTTCTCCATACAAGCATGAGGACCTGAGTTCAATCCTCATCACCCACATAAACAGCGGGGCACAGTGCTGCACACCTATGATCCTCGCACTGGCAAAGCAGAGAGACACAAGGATCCTTGGGGCTTGCTGGCCAACAAGTCTAGATAAATCCAGATTCAGTGAGAGAACCCTGGTTCAAAATATATGATAGAGAGTGATTAAAGAAGTCACCTGAGCTACTGCTGCGTCTTCCATCCCAGCGGCAAGAGCCAATGCTCCCAAGTCTCCTGCCCCACCTTTGGATCCAGGTAAACCAGGGCCCACTTCCGGACTGCCTGCCTGGGCCTGGACTCTGCCACTGAGGCTCCATCCTGGCAGAGATGGCAGGAGGCAAGGTACTGACTATAGTTTCCTGCTTCACCCACGGAACTAGGACTAGACGGGCTGCCGGTGCTTGGGGACTGCCAAGGTGGCTTCCATCACAGAGGCAGGAGCAAACTCACCCCAGCATCCTAGTCTCCTGCTCCACCCACATGCCTGAGACTATCAAGGCCTGTCTCCAGGCAACACTCCTGTGCTTGGGGTGTACCACTGGGGCTCCCATCCATCCCAGTGGGATCCAAAGCACCCCAGCATCCTAGTCCACTTTTCCACCCACGAGACCAGGAAGTGGAGAGCTACCAGAACAGTGGACTTGCCTACACCCACCAGAAGGGAACCCTGGCCCCACACTCGTCAGGAGAGGAAGAGGCACCCTCTGGAACCCACTGCAGGAACGGATGGGAAGGAGACAATATAAAAACACAAGTAGCAACAGAAAAACCAATATGACACCGCCAGTGTCCAGAGACTCTACTCCAACAAGACTGGAACACCCTAACATGAATGGACTAGACGAAAATGACATAAAAAACGACTTCATGGAAATGATAGAAGCCCTCAAAGAGGATATAAGAAAATCCCTTAAAGAGATGGAAGAAACAACAAAAAATGCAAGAAATGGAGCAAAACAAAAATATCAAGAAACAATTCAAACAGTGCAAGGGCCAAAATCTGAAATAGAAACAATAAAAAAAACAGTCTGAAGAGATGCTGGAAATAGAAAACCTGGGAAAATGATCAAGTACTACAGATGCAAGCATAACCAACAGAATACAAGAGATGGAAGAAAGAATCTCAGGTGTTGAAGATACACTAGGAGAATTAGGTTCATCGAACAAAGAAATTTTTAAGTCCAACAAATCCCTAGCTTTTTAGATTCATCGAACAAAGAAATATTTGAGTCCAACAAATCCCTAGCACAAAATATCCAGGAAATTTGGGACACCGTGAAAAGACCAAACTTAAGAATAATAGGTATAGAAGTGCCAGTGAGTCTTGGAAACAGGGAGATTCCCAAGAGATATGTATGATACCCCAGAGAAGTGGAATGAGGCAAGATCTCCTGAGCAGGTTGGGAACATCGGGGTAGGGGAGAGTAAACCAGGAAAAAGAGAGGGGGAGAAGAGGAGGGGAGAAGAAGGCATGGGGGAGCAGGAAGGTTGAGTCAAGGTAAGAATAGAGGAGAGCAGGATGAGATATACTATAATAAAGAGTCATTATAGGTTTGAGGAGAGAGCTGACACTAGTGAGATCTGCAGAGATCTACAAGGATAACACCAACTGGCAAACTAAGCAATAGTGGAGAGACTACATTAAATGCCCCTCCTTGATGATAAGGTTGATGACTACCTTATATGCCATCCTAGAACCTTCATCCAGTGACTGATGGAAGCAGAGACAGTTACCCACAGCTAAACACTGAACTGAACTCCTGGAACCTTGTGACAGAGATGGAGGAGTGATGAGCAAAGGGGTCAAGACCATGTTGGTGAAACCCACAAAGACAGCTTACCGGATAAGGGGGAGCTCTTCAATCCCAAACTGATGGCTGAGAGGACAAAAGGGAACTGATCCAGACTCCATGAATGTAGTGCCAGTGAGGAGGCCACATAAATCACTGGGGCCTTGGGTAGTAGATCAGTGTTTACCATGCTGTATGAATGATCTTTGGGAGCCCATTCCAAATAGAGGGATGCTCTCTCAGCCTGGACACGTGGGAAAAGACTTTGGAGATCCCCCCAAGGAGGGCCTCACCCTCCCTGGGGAATGATGTGGGGATAGGGTGGCGGGCTGGGATGGCTGGTGGAGGGACAAGGGAGGAGAGGTGGGAGAGGAAGCTGGGATTGACACATGAAGCATTCATGTTTCTAATTTAAATAAAAACATATAATGAGGGAAAAAGAAGTCACCTGATGCTAACATCTGACCTCTATAAGCAGGTAACTGCATACATATCCACACCTGCCCCCCAACACAGTCAAAAAGAAACATTCAAGATAAATCAGTGCAAATTACAGCATGTAGATTTACCCATTGTGCCGATGAGCCCTTAACTCTGAAAGCTCTGCAATCTTTCTTCCTACATCTTTGGAGGGATCACTAGGGTAATGGCCACCCTCCCACAAGAAGCAAGGGAACTGGAAAACACTGCAGAACAAATGAAGGCAATAGAGACAAACAAGTGCTGAGAGGATGGGCCCATAGCATCGGCTGCTTTCGGTTGCTGTGATAAACACCATAATCATAGCAACATGGGGAGAAAGAGCTTATTTCAGATAATAGCTTCCATCGATGTGGGAAGCTAAGGCAGGAACCAAAGGCAGCAACCTGGAGGTAGGAGCTGAGGCAATGACCATGGAGGGATGCTGTTTACTGACCTGCTCCCAGGGGTTTGCTCAATTTGAATTTTTTTAACACAACCCAAGACCACCTGCCCCGGGTGTACCAACCACAAGGTATGGGCCCTCTAACATTAATCATTAATCAAAAAATGCCCCCATAGACTTTCCTACAGGTCATTCAGATGGAGATATTTTCTCAGTTGAGGCTCCTCTTCCCAAGGTTTGTCTAAGTTTGTGTCAGGTTGACAAAAGTCTATCACATAAAGGATCTAAGACACTGGGGAGTCTAAAGCAAAGGAGAAATTCTCACTGAACACCACACAATGGAGGGAGCTATAAAAAAGAGGTGTGGAAAGGTGGGAGACATCCCAAGATAAAAGGGAGATTTTAAAAAGTCAATTGCAATTTTGTGTACTGAAAACAGTAACAATAAAATTATCAATTATAGAATCAACAAAAGCTACAAGATTACTAGGAGTAATTTAAACAGAAGTGTTGAGAGCCTGAACAAGATGTGTAAATCTTGACTGAAGACAGTAAGAAAGAGCTGTGCATATGACATGATCTCTCTACATGACAGGAGACAGACTTGCTGTTACAAATAGGTCCCCTTTCTCAGGCTAATCCAGGAGGTTTCAATCAGTCCAGCCATGTGAGAAGGGACTTCCTTTGAGAAGATGTAGAGTTGCGGTGAACTTTGTGTGGAGTAAGAAGGGCTCAGAACCACCAGGTGCCAGGTAGAAGATTTTCAGTGAGGAGATTGCCAAGTGGTTAAAGCATTTGACACACAAGTGTGAGAACAGAGTTTAGACACTCAAAACATATGTGAACACTAGGTGGACATGCGTGCCTCTTGTAATTCCAGTCCAGGAAGGCAGAGATGTGGGAGAGGTGTCCCCAGAGCAAGCTAGCTAGCAAGATTAACCATATGTGTGAGCTCTAGTTTTCTTGAGAGACCCTGACTCAATGAATAAGGTGGAAGAGTGATCAGGAATAATTGCTACGTCAACCTCAGGCAGGCTTCCACATGCAGAAGCACACCCACATGGGTTAAAACATGCACACACACACACACACAGACACACACATACACACACACACACACACACACACACAAATGGAAAAGAGTAAAACGAGCAGTACCAAGCGATATTTGCACAGAAAGGACATCATGGACTAAGAAGATTGGAAGTGAAGACCCCGACAGTCAGCCTGTGTGACAGCCAGCAGGGCAGTAAGAGAGACAGAGCCTCAGATAGCTGAAGGACACAGAAGACTATGTTGTCTGTGTGACTGTGGTGAAGGGTGAGGCTGTTATGGAAGTCTGCAGGTACATAACATCTGTAACTCCAGCTCCAAAGGATATGACACCCTCTTTCTGGCCTCTTCATACACACACTGCACATACAAACATATATACATGTAGGCAAAACACACACACAGGCAATAAAAATAATCTTTCAAAAACTGGAGACTTTGATTTCTTTTCTTTATTGTGCATGTGCATGCATGCTAATGTGAGTGCCCTCCCTCCAGAAGAGAGCTGATGTTATGAGCCGATAATGTGGGTGCTGGAAATAGTAGCTAGCCCTTGGCAAGACCAGAAAGTGCTCTTAACTACTGAGCCATCTCTCCAACACCCAATATTCTTTTTTAATTTTTAAAGATAAAGGTTATCCTATGTATTATTACTTTGGTTTTGTTTTTTCTGAGACACAGTGTATTTCTGTGATGCTTGGGCTGGTCTCAAACTCCTTGACATAAGCAATCCTCCTACCTCCGTTCTAAGCAACTGGGTCTACAGGCATGTACGACTCTACCCATACTACAGACTCGAACCTGGGCTGAGATACCGAAAAGGTGTGTAGCTGGTACTGGATCTGAATCCAAACCATAGATCAATGAGGTTTAAAAAAAATCACAATAGAAACATTGTCAAAACTAAAGCAGGATCTTGAATACACATGGGAAAAAGTCCCCAGACTCATTAACAGGAAGATAGATGCAAGGTTTGTGCAGTTCAGAAGTTCAAGAAACCGCTGCTCCAGGGCCCTAGAGGAAGACCACAGTGGGACCCACGCTTATCTTCCCAGTTCCCAGGGTCTCAGCCAAATAACCAGAGCACTACAGAAATGTGTGTCCCACAGCCCAGGAAACTCACTCCTGCCTTTGTGGCCAACCTTTAGATACATGAGGGGGAAGGCACATGACAATGGCCTTCTCCATTCAAATTAGTTTGACACAAGGAAACCCTGCAAAACAGCAGAAATCCATCAAGAGGAAAATGGATAAACAAATTGCAGTATATTCACATAATGGCATGCGGTGTGGAGCAGACAGATGAACTGGGGTTTTGTGCGGGAGACACGCATAACTCTCAATGCTGGGAGGATAAGCCAGCTTCGGGAAGATTCATACATTTTAATTTCATGTAGACAGTTTTATAAATAGAGAAATAAAATGCTGTGCACAGGAAGGCAGTAGACATGAGAACAGTATGACGGGTGCAAGTACTCAAATAGCCTGCAGGTTGTAAAGGGGTCACCACTGTGGGTGATGTGACCCAGGGACAGCAGCAGGCACCCAGGGTCACATCTTTGCAGGGTGGTTTGTGTTCTGACTGAGTCAGGGACTCTCTTAAATCCTGTTATCTCTGTCTTCACTGTTTTCTTTCCTTTTTAAAAACAAACCCTGGCCACAGTTTCCCTCCCTCTTCTTCTTCTACTCCCACCGTCTCTGTTCCCACCCACAACCCTCTCCTTCTCTGTTTCTGCTTAGGAAAGGGCAGGTCTCCCAAGAGTAACATCAAAACACAGCATATCAAGGTGCCGTAAGACTACGCACCTCCCCATGTATTAAGGCTGGGCAATGCGACCCAGTGTGAGGAGTTGGGTCCCAAAACCCAGTAAAAGAGTCAGAGACACCCTTTTTTCCCACTGTTAGGAGTCCCACAAGAGGACCAAGCTGCACAACTGTAACATTTTGCAGAGTGCCTAGGTCAGTCCCATGTATGTCCAGGCTGACACTGCCCATGGACCACCAAGCTGGGGCTTTCTCACTCCTCTCCTTTGACTCTTCTCATCCTGGGTCTCTGCGTTCCTGCCCATCAGATCACCACCCTCCATGTTCGTGGAGAAACCTCCTCCTTCACATCCTAGCCGTGCCTTCCGTGTGTTCACTAGTTAGGTAAGGATGCTGGGATTTAGTGGAGCGAGTTGGAGACAATGATTCTTCCCAGAGAATGAGCAAACCCAACTCTTATGCATCAGCCTTCTCCCTCCCTCCCTCCCTCCCTCCCTCCCTCCCTCCCTCCCTCCCTCCCTCCTTTCTTCCTTCTCCTTCTCATTCTCTTTCATCTCTCTGTCCTTTCCTTTTTCCTCCCTGTCCCCTCTTTTCTTTCCTTTCCTCCCCTTTCCTCTCTTCCCCTTCCTTCTTCCCCACTTCCCTTTCCTTCTTTCTATCCCGCTCTCCTTCCCTTACTTCCATCCTCATTTTCCCACCCCACCCTCCTTCCCTCTTTCCTTCTTTCTTCCCTCCCCCCCAGTACTTTCATCTTCTTTAACACTGACTCCCACCTGGCAGGCATGGGCACAGGAACAGAAGTCACACTGGGAGACAAGTGTCTTCACGGAGCCTCATCCAGCCCAGTGTGAGGAAGGGTGCTACCAAGAGAGAAGTCTTAGGCTGAAATAAAATGGAAGTTTGAGGACAGAGAAGGGCAGTTATAAATGAGGCTGGCCTCACTGTAAAGACTAGCCTTGAGCAAGGGATGTGCAGGAGGCGACGGAGAACTGTGCAGACTGTCTCCGCTTGCAAGATTCCACACCCCAGAGGGCGAAGAAGTGCAGGAAGTGGCAGATGGCAGCATCTAGCTCACATTGGAACCTGGGCTGTGAGCAGAGGTGAAGACCTTGCACATAGAGGAGAGTGTTAGTGGTGAGGCTGGGGGAGGGGAGTGTGCAGATGGTCATGGCCCATAGTGAAGACGATGTGGGTCCAGGTGAGGGTGAGACAACATGTGTGGGTGGCTTCAGCTGGTGATGGCCAGTAGCCGGTGGTAGCTGGATGATGTCACCTGGCCTTTGCGCCTCATGGGATGGACGTGATCAGATGCCTCTTCTCTGCAGACGTCTGAGCAAAATAAGTGATGCTAAACTCATAAAATTAGGGTTCAGGTTTTGGTATCAGATGTGTACAGTCACGCTTAAACCTTGCTTCATGCTGG